TGCGTTCTACTGTATCTCTAGTTTCTATCTCATTGATCTCTGCTCCATTCTTGATTATTTCCCTTCTTGTGTGTGGAGTTGGTTTAATTTGTTGTTGATTATCCAGTTCTTTAAAGTGTAAAGACAGCTGGTGTATTCTGGATTTTTCAATTTTTTGAGGGAGGCTTGGATGGCTATGTATTTGCCCTTAGGACTGCCTTTGCTGTATCCCATAGTTTTTGGACCTAAGTGTCTTCATTTTCTTTGGTTTCCATGAATTGTTTAAGTTCTTCTTTGACTTTCTGGTTGACCACCTTAAGCAAGGTGGTCTTTAGCTTCCAGGTGTTTGAATTCCTTCCGAACTTTTCCTTGTGGTTGAGCTCCAGTTTCAAAGCATTGTGATCTGAGAATATGCAGGGAATAATCTCAATCTTTTGGTATCGGTTGAGTCCTGATTTGTGACCCAGTATGTGGTCTATTCTGGAGAAAGTTCCTTGTGCACTCGAGAAGAATGAGTATTCTGTTGTTTTAGGGTGGAATGTTCTGTATATATCTATGAGGTCCATCTGGTCCAACGTGTCACTCAATGCTCTTGTTTCTTTATTGATTTTCTGCTTTGATGATCTGTCTATTTCTGATAGAGGCGTGTTAAGATATCCTACTATTAATGTATTCATAGCAATATGACTTTTTATCTTGATTGACAGTTGTCTTATGTAATTGGCTGCTCTCATATTGGGGGCATAAATATTTACAATTGTTAGATCTTCTTGGTGGATAGACCCTTTAAGAATGATGTAGTGTCCTTCTGTATCTCTGACTACAGACTTTAGTTTAAAATCGAATTTATCTGATATGAAAAGCGCTACCTCAACCTTCTTTTTTTAAAGATTTTATTTACTTATTTGACACAGAGAGAGAGATCACAATTAGGCAGAGAGGCAGGCAGAGAGAGAGGAAGGGAAGCAGGCTCCCCATGGAGCAGAGAGCCCAATGCAGAGCTCGATCCCAAGACCCTGGGACCATGACCCGAGCAGAAGGCAGAGGCCTTAACCCACCGAGCCACCCAGAGTCCCCCCTCAGCCTTCTTTTGAGGCCCATTGGCATGAAGGATGGTTCTCCATCCCTTCATTATCAGTCTGGATGTATCCTTAGGTACAAAATGGGTCTCTTGAAAGAGGAACCCTCCTACACTGTTGGTGGGAATGCAAGCTGGTGCAACCACTCTGGAAAACAGCATGGAGACTCCTCAAAAAGTTGAAAATACAGCTACCCTATGACCCAGCAATTGCACTACTGGGTATTTACCTTAAAGATACAAATGTGATCTGAAAGGGCACGTGCACCTGAATGTTTATAGCAGCACTGACCACAATAGCCAAACTATGGACAGAACCTAGATGTCCATCAAGAGATGAATGGATAAAGAAGATATGGCGTATATATAAAGTGGAATACTATGCAGCCATCACAAGAAATGAAACCTTGCCCTTTGTGATGACGTGGATGGAACTAGATGGTATTAAGCTTAGCAAAATAAGTCATTGGAGAAAGACAACTATCATAAGATCTCCCTGATATGAGGAAGGGGAGATGCAATGTGAGGGGTTGAGAGTAGGAAAAGAATAAATGAAACAAGATGGGATCGGGAGGGAGACAAACCATAAGAGACTTTTAATGTCACAAAACAAACTGAGGGTTGCCAGGGTGAGGAGGGAGGGCGAGGGTGGTGGGGTTATGAACTTGGGGAAGGTAGGTGCTATGGGGAGTGCTGTGAAGTGTGTAACCTGGCGATTCACAGACCTGTATCCCTGGGGCTAATAACACATTATATGTTAATACAAAATTTTTTTTTAATTAAAAAAGAAGAAAGAAATGGCCTGTGCAGAGACACCCTGATCTCCTCTGTCCCCCTGAAAGCTAGACATGAGTCTCCTATGGGAAAGGCTCCCTCCCTGGACCAGGATGAGACAGATGTCCTTAGCACCAGAAATGGAAGTTTAAGGCCCAGAAGACTGTACAAACACACCTTACTTCTTCACTAACTTGAATTTGTTAGTTTATGTTTCCAGAACAGAAGTGTCACACACAAAAAGCCAGAGTGGAGGAGATGAGTCTGCTTCTGGTTTGGATAAAATATCTCCTCACAAGAGCTTGATGTTGTGTGTAGAGGGTCTTCGTGGGTCTCCTTCAAGGTCAGCAGTGCTGCTGGGGCCTGGGAGTACTCTGGTGACAGCAACAGTATGCCGTCCTTCAGCCTGTACTCAGGGCCATCGACAATTAGACCACACACAAAGTACACCAGCATAGGCAGGGCCGGTGTCCCCCCAGCCTGGGAGTCTGGGCACTGGGCTCATGACCAGCAAGAGGAGGCCTGAAAAGTGCAGGGACTCTTGGCGTGCTTGCTGCTGCTGGCATAGTGTGGACACCAGCATGTGTGAGCCTGGTCCTATGGCTGAGACAGTCTGGAACAGTCATCCCCTGACCATCATTGGACTGTAGCTGGGAGCCCTGGTGACCCCATGCCTGTGGGGGAGGGTGACCTGAGAAATGGTGAGGAAGAGCAGTGCCAAGTTAGCTGACTCAGATGACACAGTTCTAGGTCACCTGCTAAGTGGGGCAGCAGAGGGACAGGCGAGGGGGTCAGCTCTCTCCGAGACCTGCCTCAGTTCCATAGGACCACTCATCACTAGGACTGCTCTGGTTCTGTCTCTTCAGGGGGCTCCATTCTGCTGGTCATCTCCACTCCTGACACCTGTCCCTTGGATCTCAGGCAGCACTTTCACCTAAATCTGTGTTTCTGCCAGAGACTTCATAGATAATCCTGGATAAATAATGGACTAAGAGTAGGGACAGGTATTGGTCAAGACGACAAGGAACCAAGGAACAGATCTGTGGCCCAGTATGGAGGGTCCAAGACTTGGTCAGGAAACAGTAGGGATCCTGTCTTCAAGCTGATCTCACTGTTGTCCTGAGCATGACTAGAGTCTCCTCCTTAGACAGAGCTGTATCCTAGAGCCCCTCAGTGGTGACCTGGTGTGCTGGTACTGTGTGGGGAGAGGAATTATAATATCTAATGGCAAACCCCTGTGAGCCAGAAGGACTGGGTGTGGGATGTGACCTTCACAGTTTGCTCCAGAGGTTACCTCTCATTCCTCAAGCACAACACAGCCCAATGAGAAAACTGTGTCCTGTTGCAGGTGCAGATTGGCAGCATCCTTGCCCCCTGCATGCACTGAAACATGAGGTCCTAGATCACATCTGAAACGGCTGTGGCCTACCTGTGGGGACAAGGCTGTCCCATCTACCGTGTCTGCTGGAATCTGTGGGTGTTCAGAGAATCAGGAATGTAACCTCCTTCTTTTGGCTCAACCTATCACCTCAGGGAAAACTGTAAATGGGGACCTTGACATTGTTAATTATGTAAAGTACTTGCTAATATTAAAGAACAAATGCCCAGAGAAGATGAGATGAATATGGAAGGGATAAAATATACAAGGACAGCAGGAAATAGTTGTAAAGTATATCAGGAGACAATGTGAACCTGGTCATTTATAAACTTATGAGAATCTGTTCTCTACAAACATATATGTGTTTACATGTCATATGTGAGAGACAGAAACAGAGGAGCAGGACAGAAAGAGGGAATGTGCAACAGAGAAAAATGACTTTTCTGTAATAAATTCATAATTCATGAAGTCTTCAGAGCACCTGGAGGGTCCTGTCTGTAAGGTCCACATTGATGTAGAAATCAAGGTGAAAACCAAGATGCTCCACACACTGCCCCTAAGCCTCTGTCCAGCTTCCCTGTCATCCTCCTCCTTCCCATCAGTAATTGGGCTCTGGTTGGTGGTGGGTGGGCCCTGGTGCTTTTACCCCTGAAGGTACCTGTGTATTAGGGTCTCCATGTCTCAGATTGTGTGGTAAAGGAACACCAGAGCTTCCCTTCCCAACTAAGATTAATGGGTTTCTCCCTAGAACCATCTGTGTTCAGGGTGGAGAAAGAACCATGTAGGTTGGATTTTAGGTGGGGTTTTTTTTGTTTGTTTGAATTCAGTTAACAACACATAATACATCATTAGACTCAGATGTCATATTCGATAATGCCTCAGTTGTATATATGGATTTCTGTTCCATGGATGTAACTAGAGGGTATTACGCTGAGTGAAATAAGTCAATCAAAGAAAGACAATTATCATATGCTTCAAGCATATGTGGAATATAAAAAGTAGAGGATCATAGGGGAAGGGAGGGGAAACTGAATGGGATGACCTGAGACAGGGAGACAAACCATGAGATACACAGAACTATAGGAAACAAAGTGAGGGTTATGGAAGGGAAGTGGGTGGGGGCAATGGGGTAACTGGGTGGCAGGCATTGAGGAGGTCATATGATGTGATGAGCACTGGATGTTGTACACAATGATGAATTACTGAACACTACATCTGAAACTAATAATGTACTTTACCTTGGCTAATTGAATTTAAATAAAATTAAAAAAAAAGAAAAGAATATCCACATAACACCCAGTCTCTCTGCCTTGCCCTCCACACGAATGAGCTTGTTTCCTTATATAAATGCTGGAGTATAGTTCCAAACATCCCTTTTGTAGGTGGATTGCCATCATCTGGAACCCCATATCTGATTTGTGGGAGCAAATGACCCAAACTGGGCAATCAGCAGGGTCTGGAGTCTGGACAACTGCTTGTCCTCCAGGTTTGTGAACAGGTAATTCTGCAGGTTGAACTTGCAGCCCACTGTTGGACAGCCTGGCAATGGAATAAAAGAGCACATTCATAAGGTTTCTAAACGTTCATCAGCTCCAGCACAAACCCTCTCAAGCAACTGGTGCTAGAGAACATCTCAGGCAGGACTGGAGCCTAGATCACTAGGACCAGGCTCAGTGGGTCCTCGCACCACTCAACATGGGTTCACCAAGAACTGGTGACTGTCACCAGGGTTCAGGATCTTTAATGCCTCCCCTCCTCCATGGGAACCCACATGCAAATCACCTGGGGTGCTCCCAGAAGAAATAGACATCACAGGCAGAGGTCAGCGTGCTGGGTATCCATCCTGCAGGCAACCATGCAGCTGCTGTGGTCCCTCCTCTGCCTTCTGAGAGCTCCCCTGGGTGAGGATCTGGGGCCTCTGGGTTAGACAGTGGCCTTTCTGTGGGATGGGACAGACTCACCATGACTCTCCTTGTCCCCAGGTGTCCTGTCTCAACTTACACTTCAGGAGTCGGGCCCAGGACTCGTGAAGCCCTCACAGACACTCTCTCTCACATGTGTTGTCTCCGGGGGCTCTGTCACCAGCACTTATTATTGGCACTGGATCCACCAGCACCCTGGAAAAGCACTGGAGTGGATGGGCTACTAGTACAAGCTACAACCTGGATTTCCAAGGCCGCATCTCCATCACTGCTGACACATCCAATAAACAGTTCTCCCTGCAGCTGAGTTCCGTGACCACCGAGGACACAGCCGTGTATTACTGTGCTAGAGGCACACTGAGGAGAAATCATTGTGAGCCCAGACACAAACCTCCCTGCAGGGGCACAGGAGGGGCGGGGCTGCAGGTGGTCCCAGAATCCAGCAGGGGGTACTCAGGACACCAGGGAGCTCTCAGGACACCTGGGGACACTCAGGTCACCAGGGGGAACTCAGGTCACTTTCCGGAGCTCAGGTCACCACAGGGTGCTCAAGAGACAAGGGGCGCTCAGGACAGAAAGGGTACTCAGGTCACCATGGGGCGCTCAAGACCCACCAATACCCTTTCCACACCAGAAGCAGGTGCAGGTGAAGATTAAACGCATGTTTCCTGGCACAGTTTGGGGCTTCCTTTCCATAAAGCAGTTTCCCCAATGAGATTTTCTAGAATTATGATTTGTTCTTACTTCTTACGTCTATGAATTGAAACGTTGGCTATAATAGGAAAAAACTATATGTACATGCACAAAAAGCAGGAAGTCACTTACACTTGATGAATCTTTTCCCTCAATGACAATTACGGACATTCTGATGTAAGCCTGCTAAGCCTGTAAAAGTTTCAGCTGGACTCAACAACACAGCTTCACATAGCCCAGTGTACAAGCTGTGAGCCAGCATCATCAAGTTCATGCTGGACATCAGGTACAGGGCCATGATAAAGCCAAAGCCAGAGAAGAATGGCCCAGTGTGGGGGGTCATAGTGTGGAGCACATGCTCACAGAATCTATTTAGCTGACACCATCCAGAGCCAGAGGGACCTCAAACAAGCTTGGTACAGTTGGTGAATCAGATGATACGATACACACTTACAAGAGATTATGAAATGTTAATCACCTCCATCATCAAAGTGTCTGTTGATTTCAGGGAATGCTTCCCAGCATGTCAGAAATGCTCCAATAAACATTAGAAAGGACACAAAATCAGAGATTTTTTTATTGTGATATTGTGAGTTAGTGCTGGAAAATTCCATAGGGATCTGGAACATCAGGGGCACAGAATCTAGTCTTTCCTAGGAGATTTCCCATGTATGGAGCATGAGAAGATGGAGGAATGTGGCTTCTGGTGCCAGTAAAAAATCATCAGAAGATACAGTGTCATGACTAATTCCATGCAACAACTACAAAAAGGAGTGAAAATGAATATACATGATAAATAGGTGTAGAAGACCATCTGAGTCCCTTGAAAATATGAATGATAATATATAAGCAGACAATAATAAGAAAGCTATGAGTAGAAGACAAGGGTCTTACCCAGTGTCTCAGGAGAAAGCTGTCCACTTCCCAAGGTCACCAGCAGGTTCTGATGGTCTGGTGAACCCTGTGTACACACAGAGACTAGAAGCTTCAACAGGATCCATGAGAATGCTCAGGTTGAGGTGCTGGTTGGGAGGAGTCTTCCACCTGCAGATATTAATTGATCCTTCAGTTACTGATATCAGCTCAATATGTTTAATTTCTACCATCACTACGTTGAAACCTAACACCAATTTAATGGAATGAATGGGTGGGGACTTAGGGAAGCACTTAGGTCAGGAGCGTGCAGTCTCATAATGGGATTAGGGCTCTTATACACCAGGACTGGTGTATAAGACTTGTGTAAAGATTTCCGCCCCTTGGCCCCATGTGAGTTAACAGGGAAAGGACCGCCTAGGACATGAGTTCTCTCCAGACACCAAATCTGCCTGCACCTTGATATGGCACTTCCCAGACTCCAGAACTGTGAGGAACGTGTGTCTAATGTTTAAAACCACCCAGTTCGTGTACATTGTTACACCAGCTGGAACACATGGAGGCATTAGTGACGCATGAACCCAAGCATTTTTTCTGGCTGAGTTTTCAGAGTTTGTGGCAGTGATAACTGATGGTATTTGAGTCTTACCATCATTTTACAAAGTTGACTTATGCTGATTGCCATGAGCTGTACTGCTCAGTCACTGGACATAATGTTGTTACCCCATGTCCCCAACATGAAACCAAGGATGTGAGTTTCTGTGACTCTCCATCTGAACATGAGGGTAGGTTCCTCTTGAAGTGTTCATTACTGGAAACACTCAAGGCACCTACATTACTTGTTTATCCTTTATCATGGTGTTTATATGCAATGCTTGTGTGTGTGTGTGTGTGTGTGTGTGATTTTTTTAATCTCTTTTCAGCGTAACAGAATTCATTGATTATGCACCACACCAAGTGTTCCATGCAATACATGCCCTCCATAATACTCACCACCTGACTCCTGCAACCTCCCATCCCCCACCCATTCATAAACCCTCGGGTTGTTTTTCAGAGTCCATAGTCTCTCATGGTTCATCTCCCCTTCCAATTTCCCTCAACTCCCTTCTCCTCTCCATCTCCCCATGTCCGCCATGTTATTTCTTATGCTCCACAAATAAGTGAAACCATATGATCATTGACTCTCTCTGCTTGACTTACTTCACTCAGCACAATCTCTTCCAGTCCCATCCATGTTGCTACAAAAGTTGGGTATTCATCCTTTCTGATGGAGGCATAATACTCCATAGTGTATATGGACCACATGTTCCTTATCCATTCATCCATTGAAGGGCATCTTGGTTCTTTCCACAGTTTGGCGACCCTGGCCATTGCTGCTATGAACATAGGGGTACAGATGGCCCATCTTTTCACTACATCTGTATCTTTGGGGTAAATACCCAGTAGTGCAATTGCAGGGTCATAGGGAAGCTCTATTTGTAATTTTTTAAGGAATCTCCACACTGTTCTCCAAAGTGGCTGCACCAACTTGCATTCCCACCAACAGTGTAAGAGGGTTCCCTTTTCTCCATATCCTCTCTAACACATGTTGTTTCCTGTCTTGCTAATTTTGGCCATTATAACTGGGATAAGGAGGTATCTCAATGTGGTTTTAATTTGAATCTCCCTGATGACTAGTGACGATGAACATTTTTTCATGATTCTGATAGCCATTTGTATGTATTCACTGGAGAAGAGTTTGTTCATATCTTCTGCCCATTTTTGACATGATTATCTGTTTTGTGAGTGTTGAGTTTGACAAGTTCTTTATACATCCTGGATATCAGCCTTTTGTCTGAATTGTCATTTGCAAATATCATCTCCCATTCCGTAGGTTGCCTCTTTGTTTTGTTGACTGTTTCCTTTGCTGTGCAGAAGCTTTTGATCTTGATGAAGTCCCAAAAGTTCATTTCTGCTTTTGTTTCCATTGCCTTTGGAGACATATCTTGAAGAAGTTGCTGTGGCTGATATTGAAGAGGTTACTGCCTATGTTCTCCTCTAGGATTCTGATGGATTCCTGTCTCCTGTTGAGGTCTTTTATCCATTTCAAGTTTATCTTTGTGTACGGTGTAAGAGAATGGTCGAGTTTCACTCTTCTACATATAGCTGTCCAATATTCCCAGCACCATTTATTGAAGAGACTGTCTTTTTTCCACTGTATATTTTTTCCTGTTTTGTCAAAGATTATTTGACCATAGAGATAAAGGTCCATATCTGAGCTCCCTACCCTGTTCCACTACTCTATGTGTCTGTTTTTATGCCAGTACCATGCTGTCTTGGTGATCACAGCTTTGTAGTAAAGCTTGAAATCAGGTAATGTGATGCCCCCAGTATTATTTTTCTTTGTCAACATTTCCTTAGCAATTCGGGGTCTCTCCTGGTTCCATACAAATTTTAAAATTATTTGCTTCAGCTCTTTGAAAAATACTGGTAGAATTTTGATCAGAAAGGCATTAAAAGTATAGGTTGCTCTAGGCAGTATAGACATTTTACCAATGTTTATTCTTCCAATCCAAGAGCATGGAATGGTCTTCCACCTTTTTGTTTCTTCTTCAATTTCTTTCATGAATGTTCTATACTTTCTCGAGTACAGATACTTTACCTCTTTGGTTAGGTGCATTCCCAGGTATCTTATGGTTCTTGGTGCTATAGTAAATAGAATCGATTCTCTAATTTCCCCTTCTGTATTTTCATTGTTATTTTATAAGAAAGCCACTGATTTCTGTACATTGACTTTGTATCCTGCCATGTTACTGAATTGCTGTATGTGTTCTAGTAGTTTGGGGGTGGAGTCTTTGGGTTTTCCATATAAAGTATCATGTCATCTGTGAAGAGAGAGAGTTTGACTTCTTCATTGCCAATTTGGATACCTTTTATTTCTTTTTGTTTTCTAATTGCTGTTTTTAGGACTTCTAATACTATGTTGAACGAGAGTGGTGAGAGTGGGCTTACTTGTCGTGTTCCTGGTCTCAAAGGGAAGGCTGCAAGCTTTTTCCCATTGAGGATGATATTCG